CAAAAGTTGTATGTGTGGCTAGTTTGTACTCTCCAAAATATGTATACTGTACGGGCGTCGTAAGGGGCTTAGCGTACAGTAAACTTGACTAATAACTGAATAAAGAGAATCGACCAAGAGGTCACCTTAAAACCAAAAAAAAAAAAAAACAAAATATAAAAAAAGCATTTACTCAGTATTTCTAAAATTTCTTGAACTAGCTTTAAAAAAGCTTAAAATTCTGCAGATAATAGTAACTTTCATACTGAATCTCTTTTAAAACAGACAATCCAAAATCATTACAAACCTAGATACAACAGAGTGCTTTGAGATAAATGATGGTATCGAACAAGAAGAAGTAATTTCTCTGCTTATATAGAAAATCTTCTATGACCCATTATTGTCAAAAATTCAGGAAGATTCAGAACTGGGATACGCTATCACTCAAAGAATCACATATAACTATAGTTTAAATTAATATAAAGAGATTAAGTGAAGTCAAGTGGTGATAACATATACTAACAACATAACATAGATTGCAAAAAGCAAAACGCAAATAGAAAAAATTATACAAATTGCTGAAGAATTCTTTAGACTCAATGATATACAGATTAATAGAAAGAAATCCAGGTTAATTATCTGCAGCTCACTAGAAAGAAAGGAAGACCGAAGACTCCTTTTTGGCAATGAGTAGTTAGTAGAAGAAGGAAAGAACAAGATCACAAAATTTCTTGAAGTATAGTTGAATAACAAACTAGATGAATCTTTGGTAAAAGCAAGAGCAAAAGAGATTGTTCGTTCAATAGCAAGAACTCTAAATCTCAAAAAAGTAACTATAGCACAAGCAGTATATATTAATAATATATGTATAATGCCAAAGCTATGCTATATACTACAAGTTTCTAGATTTAAACAAAAGGTAATCGATAGTCTCCGAGCTCTCTTACTTGCTTTAACCAAAAATAAGATGGGACTATCAAGAACTACAAACAATAGCACAATTCTATACAGAAGTATTAGCAACTGCAATACTTTATAAGACAAGCTTTTAACAAAACAGATCTCTAGCCTACACCTCTGATTAAACATCTTTGGTCTGAAAGAGATATTGATATTGCTAAGAATAATCAATGGTATGAGAATAATAGAGTTAACAGAGAATATATAGCACAAAGAGCTACCAAAAGCCTGTGCATAAATATGAAAAAACAATCTAGCATATCGAACAATGCTAAATGCTAGGAAACTAGTAATCACGTTAAGGTTTAGAAGTACAAACTTGATAACAGAAAACAAGGACTATAAATATACTGTTATAGAATGAGTTGTCTAAATTTCTTATTATTAGTATTATTATTAGTATTATTATTATTATTATATTATATTATATTCTATTATTGTATTATTATATCATCATATAATATTATTAAGTAGTTTCATATAATGTGATGAACGAAAAGAATGGTTACCATTTCTACTATTTCTACCATTTCTATCATTTCTACCATTTCTACTATTTCTACTATTTTTACTATTTTTACCATTTCTACTATTTCTACTATTTCTACTATTTCTACCATTTTTACCATTTCTACCATTTTTACCATTTCTACCATTTCTTATTATTTGTATTAGTTTTATTAGTTTAGAAAAAAGATATATAAACTCTGGCTTTTTCTCTTCCTGCTAGATAAGACTTAAACATCTTTTTTAGATACAGACACCCTTTAGTTATAAGAATATTACCGTATATTTCTGAAAATAAGCTACCTTTTTTTGGGCAATTTTGAGTAAAAAAAATCGAATATAGCTTATTTTCGGAGGTTATAACTTTTTAAGAATTTGACATTTAATAAGAGATAGCTTATTTTCAGATTATAAAACCGGAATTTTATTTTTTTTCAAATAAACTCAAATCAGGTTCACTTTGATTAAACCCAAAGCAAACCTGATTTGATTTTTTTTATTCAATATTCTGGTATGTATAGTACAGTCATTTTTTTTATTTTTTTATTATATTAATTAATGGTTTATTTATTTTATTATCTGAAGCATAGCAAGGACTCAATTGTTTGAGCAGATGTGAATACACAATTATGCAATATTAGTCTGAACTAGCCAATAAAAATTAAAATATGCGGGTTCCTGTGATGATCTGCAGTTACAGCACCAATGTATAAAAAGTATATTACATTGATTCAGTATAATATAACAGATAAATGGTATACAACTAAATTGTATAAAAATAGTCTGTAAAATCATTATAACAATACTGTCTAAATACAAGTTTTAGTATTTTATTATTAACTTAAGCACTACTTAGCTAAAAACAATTCATATTTTACATTTAAAAGTGAAAGCAATAATAAAGCATATAGTTTGCTAAATATAGCTATTCATACGTTTTAAGCAGGATATTTCAAAATACTTATATAATATATTTATTTTACATAATGTAGACAGGTAAACTAAAATGATAGTTCATTAGTAAAATATATTTACATATAAAATCTGATATGTATCTGAGTTAGCAAAGGTCACAAAAATATATTCTATGTATGCATACTTTAATTAACACAGTTATTACTTTGATTTATAAAACTTTTCAATGATATTTCAAGTAACTTGTTTTTTTTTATAAAGCCATTGTTATATTTAATCATATACATAGTGCAAATACATTATACAATTCAAATACATTATACAATTAAAGAGATCACACTATGTATCTAATAAGTAGCTTTTGCTTGAAATATAACCATTAACATAAATAAATAAATGATCATATTTGTTGCTAAACCCAAACCTCTATTCCAATGCATTTAATAAAAATAACTATTTAAGAGTTTTTTTTTTGCAAATATGTTATATAGCAACAAGGATATATACCATTTGTCTGATATAGTAATAAAAATTTTCAGTAAGTCATGAGTTATTAGTTTTATCTGAGTTTAAGTTTTATATATCCAAACTATTATGCTTATTTATTTGAGTTGTAAGTATATGTTTAGTATTAATTCTGCTACATAAGTTATATAGAATTTGCTAGATGGTTCGGTAACCTGAGTAAAAATTTTTCCACTGAGTACAGCACCTAATAATTGACATAAATAGATATTAATTGAATTCGTATTATGTTTAAACTTAATCTTCAAGTTTAATAAATACTGAACAATTTCGCATAATTATTTTTTACTTAATAAATACTTATCTTACACGATATTCTATTAATTAAAAAATGAGTAATCAAAATTACAAGTGTAAAGGCAAAGAAAATATAATACCGGCCAAAAGTTCCTTATATCGTGAACATAATATGCTAAGGTACCAAGAAAAGAAAAAAACCAAAACTGCTAAAGAGCGTAGTGTTCATTTAGCCAAAGCACGAGAATATATACGAAATAAAAGAAGATATGTCTTAGAGCCTTCCAAACAAGAAAATAATAATATTACAACAGAAATAGAATTGCTTCTAGAAAATACTTTAAGTATTCAACAGCTCTCTGATTCTAATCATAAGCTTTTAAAAAAATTTCGTACTGAAATGAATAATTGTGCACATCATTTTTGTTCTACATACAAAGAATATTTCTTATCAATAATACTTGTTATAGAAGAATATCGATGCTGTTATAGTGAGAAGAGTAAAATAAAGAGATTTTTAGCTGAAAATAACATGGATCCCGATGATTTACCAGAAGAGCTAAAGTGCCTCAATGAAATTGAAAAAATGTTAATAGCTCAGATTTTTCTGGTTGTGTCTGTATATTACCTGCATAGGATCAATATACATACCGCAAAAATATAATTAATTTTCTTCAGGATGTAAAAGAATTTGTATCACGACTTCTTCAATCTTCCCAATCAGTAGATATGCTAATAGTGCGTCACTAGTCTTCAAGAGGTCACAAAAATATATTCTATGTATGCATACTTTAATTAACACAGTTATTACTTTGATTTATAAAACTTTTCAATGATATTTCAAGTAACTTGTTTTTTTTTATAAAGCCATTGTTATATTTAATCATATACATAGTGCAAATACATTATACAATTCAAATACATTATACAATTAAAGAGATCACACTATGTATCTAATAAGTAGCTTTTGCTTGAAATATAACCATTAACATAAATAAATAAATGATCATATTTGTTGCTAAACCCAAACCTCTATTCCAATGCATTTAATAAAAATAACTATTTAAGAGTTTTTTTTTTGCAAATATGTTATATAGCAACAAGGATATATACCATTTGTCTGATATAGTAATAAAAATTTTCAGTAAGTCATGAGTTATTAGTTTTATCTGAGTTTAAGTTTTATATATCCAAACTATTATGCTTATTTATTTGAGTTGTAAGTATATGTTTAGTATTAATTCTGCTACATAAGTTATATAGAATTTGCTAGATGGTTCGGTAACCTGAGTAAAAATTTTTCCACTGAGTACAGCACCTAATAATTGACATAAATAGATATTAATTGAATTCGTATTATGTTTAAACTTAATCTTCAAGTTTAATAAATACTGAACAATTTCGCATAATTATTTTTTACTTAATAAATACTTATCTTACACGATATTCTATTAATTAAAAAATGAGTAATCAAAATTACAAGTGTAAAGGCAAAGAAAATATAATACCGGCCAAAAGTTCCTTATATCGTGAACATAATATGCTAAGGTACCAAGAAAAGAAAAAAACCAAAACTGCTAAAGAGCGTAGTGTTCATTTAGCCAAAGCACGAGAATATATACGAAATAAAAGAAGATATGTCTTAGAGCCTTCCAAACAAGAAAATAATAATATTACAACAGAAATAGAATTGCTTCTAGAAAATACTTTAAGTATTCAACAGCTCTCTGATTCTAATCATAAGCTTTTAAAAAAATTTCGTACTGAAATGAATAATTGTGCACATCATTTTTGTTCTACATACAAAGAATATTTCTTATCAATAATACTTGTTATAGAAGAATATCGATGCTGTTATAGTGAGAAGAGTAAAATAAAGAGATTTTTAGCTGAAAATAACATGGATCCCGATGATTTACCAGAAGAGCTAAAGTGCCTCAATGAAATTGAAAAAATGTTAATAGCTCAGATTTTTCTGGTTGTGTCTGTATATTACCTGCATAGGATCAATATACATACCGCAAAAATATAATTAATTTTCTTCAGGATGTAAAAGAATTTGTATCACGACTTCTTCAATCTTCCCAATCAGTAGATATGCTAATAGTGCGTCACTAGTCTTCAAGAGGGCAACAAACATTCAGAGATTTCAATGTTAGACATGACAAAGTTGAGCGGGCTCTTTACTAGCTAAAAGCAAACAATCGGTACTATAAAAATATCAATATTGATTATGATATGTTAAATTCTTTACCTGAAGATGGGTCTGTCGACAACCAGATTCCACAACTCCAAAATGAAGTTGATGATCTTCATGACACCGTTGATGATTTTCTGAATGTAAACGATGATTATTTAAATAATAATACTGAAGATATAATCACACACAATTTCATTCTAACTCCTGTTCTGTCTTTTAGTAAAGAAAATGCTATTAATGTCGCTCTTGCTCGAATACAAACTGAGAATGATCTAATAATATGGTCAAAAATAAATGAGAACCCAATAAATGAATTTAGCACTCCAGAATATATTGCTTGCGCTTTTTCAATTCTTTACCCTACAGGTGATGCTGATCTTCGAGCTGAGTATACAAAAGACGTTAAACCTGCTAAATATTTTAAACATTTGCTTAAATACAAAAATAGAAGGTTTGGGCATCATACGTGGTAGCAATATTTTGTGCTAAACTCACAAATGAGATAGAAAGCTTTGCAAGAAAGAAAGATCTATGTAAAGCAAAATCAAAATAGTATACATCTTAATGTTAAAGATGTTCAAGAATTAGCAAATAGTGATAGCTATCTTGCAGACAAAGTAATTCATTTTGGTAAAGATTTGCATAGAACAAGACAATTCTGAAAAAAGCAACACTTTGAATTGTCAGATATAATCAAGTAGTTAAAGACAAACAGAATGATATTCTTTATTTTTAGTATCGCTGATTTACACTGGCCCAAACTTTATAAGCTCATGCTGCACAGTAAACAACTAGTAAATGGAGAAACTAAGCAAGAAGTGTTTAAACATAGACGCCAAGATTTAATAGATAATCCTTACATAGCAGCCTGGTTTTTTGAAAAACAATTTAAAGTTTTTTGAATAAAGTATTGGTCCCTAAGTGAAAGCTAGAGGATTGGTAGTATAGGTTCAAATGGCAACACCAAGGCAGTATTCACGTTTACAGAATCAGAAAAATAAAAGATGTGTCTGTGTTTGAATAGAAGAGAATCAAAAATAATGAAGAGAAAATAAATGCAGTAATTCAACATCTTAATTTATTAGTTACGATAATTAATCCAGGACTTAACGCACCTGTATCTGATCACCACTGTTGCCAAAAAAGCAGCAAAGAATTATACGATGACTTACAAGATTATGTAGAGCTTATTAACAAGTTATAACGTTACACATATCATAGTGCTTCTTATTGCTTTTGAGTAAATAAAGGGCTTTAACAATGCTGATTCGGGTTTCCTAAAGATATTATAGAGCATACATTTATTAATGACAACAATGGCTAACCAGAGCTCTTCACAGCATGAAATGATTTTTACATCATTCTGCATAACCATCTTCAGCTTCAAGGGTGGTGCACAAATATTGACCTTAAGCTTATTTTAAATATTCATGCTACTTTACAATATGTTGCTAAATATGCCAGTAAATCGGAACCACGTTCTGCGACTTTCTCAGAAATATTTAATAAGATTCTTCATGAACATGACCTTTCAGATTCTTCTCTTGGTGTTTTTTAGCGACTATTGCTTTATATAGTTGCAGAACGTGACATATCTGTACAGGAAACGTGCTACCCTCTTTTTGATATCCTACTGTATCATTCTAGTTGCCATTTTGTTACCTTAAATCTTAACAAAGAATCACTTTGATGGCTTTGTAGTACTGGCAATAAAATGTTTGTATCAACAAGTCAAAACAGTCAAACAGAATCATCATCTTTACAAAGATATTAGAATAGATTGGTAGAGCTTGAGAATATCTTGCTATTTCAACTATATCTAAGATATAGATATTGTAATAGTGATTGGAAAATATATAAATATAAAAACATTGTACGTATCTGGCCAAGACCATCACCACAATGAAATGGTTCCTAATAGGAAGAGTTCTGCTATATAAAGGTTCTACTTCATATTACACTGGTTCAATAAATACATAAAGGATACATACCGGGATCCCTTTATTATCTCGATATCTATCCTTTATTTATCCACTTTTAACCTGATTTGCTACAGTTATTTGGCAGATCTATGGTAACATAAAGGATGAATACCGGTACAACATAAAAGAAAAATATA